ATCCTCTCAATTGGTCATTCTCAGCATAGTAGACCATAGGATTGTGTGATTCAAAATGTTCCACTGGTATTCTTAAGGTTTTTACTGGCCAGTTTTTTTAGAAGTCCATCACCACGTCCATCTTCATTGTCTTCATTTGGCGCTCCACTAAAACCTGTCCACCACGAGTGACCCTGCTGGTATTTGAAACACTGGTGGCCTAGCTTGTGGCATCAGAGGAATACACAAGTCACCAAAGTACAGCCAACTGACAGACAAATGGTAGCTACAACAACTGGTATATATTAAGTCTTCTCCCAAGGTGGCTGGGTATGGACAGGGCTCAAGATCCACTATATGATATAGAGAAGACCACACATCCCCTCCAGTTCCCTGTCTTGGTTTCAGACCAGCTGACATATCCTATCATGTTATGTCTTTTGTGCCCTGAATTCCTTTGTGGACAGGGGTTTAAGTGCCTTTTCTCTGCCACAGTTTCGAGGTCAGGGAGATTCCCTATACTTTGCCAGACAACTTTTCTTAACTTTGAATTTTAAAGAGATGTATTGAGATCTTTTCTTTCTTTTTTTTTTTTCCCCTCTAAGGCCCCTGGACAAATTATGCAGTTGTTCCCAATTAGTTCTCAATAAATTTCAAGCACAGCACATGAATAATTTGCCATTAAAAAATTAAAGTTTAATCTCAAAGGTCTTCCTGCCAAAAAAAGTAGTAGAAAATTGGCACAGGAAAGAGTCAGCTCCTATCCTGTGACAATAGCATCTGTCACTTAGACTAGCTTCCTGAGAATGATGAACAGGATAAAAGGACTGAGCCAGCAGGTAAAGGCTACCTTGGCTCCTACTCAGCACCTAGACTTAGTTAGATGCAGTAGTCCCCTACTGTTATGTAAGTGATCAGACTCAGTTATGTTCAGTCACATACAAAGGTTAGGCATGTATTTCATAAGATACTCCGTGTTTGTGAAGTTCCAGAATTCATTATATCTGATACAGTATGGCAGGTAAATTGATAGAAAATTAATTGGAAGACAGTTCCAAACATAATAGCTCAGCAGAAACATCCAGAATCAATTAATCAAACTGCAACTCATTTTAATTTGACATATTCTAACCCCAAAAAGGCACTGAAATCTTTAATTAAGCTCTCAGGTCCAATCCTATTTACATTAGCCCTGTTTTCTAGAATAGTTGTATCTTTTAACTTGAAACCTAATGGGAAAGTAGAAATCCTCAATATGTGTATCACACAACTCGTTATGTGTGATTAGACATTGTGTTTCCTGATAATTCTAAAATGTAATTGAAACTGTTTGAGTAGATAAATATTAACCACAACAAACAAACCCACTACTGTTGAGTTGATTCTGACTCATAAAGACCCCCATTGGGTTTCCAAGGCTGTAAATCTTTAAGAATTGCCTCATCTTACTCCTGCAGAGCAGCCGGTGGGTTTGAACTGCTCACCTTCTGGTTAGCAGCCAAATGTCTTACCCACTGAGCCACCATATTAACTATTTTAAATTACAGAGCTAAGAGGTCTTATTTATAAATGTAATGCTGATTTTTGTTCTCATTATTATGAATACTATTTAAGCATATATTTAACACACCAAAACCAAATCCACTGCCATCAAGTCAGTTCTGACTCATAGCTATCCTGTAAGAGAGTAAAATTGCCCCCTTAGGTTTCCAAGGCTGTAAATATTCACAGAAGCAGACTGCCTTATCTTTCTCTTGCAGCTGGTGGGTTTGAACCACCAGCTATTTGGTTAACAGCTATAGTGCTTAACCATCGCACCACTAGGGCTCATTAACTCACAGGAAAAGCAGATGTGTATACAGCATGTACGGGATGCTGGCGATGAGATACGGCTTCCCCTGCTCAAAGGTGGAGCTTCTTTCTAGAGGCCCCCGGACCATCTAAGAGCCCTCTGGTAGCAGTGCCAAGGTTGTTCAGAAGAGACACCATGTTCCCACTTCAAGTTCTAAGATTTAGTGTGTAGAATTCCTGGACACAAGGTTACATGAAAGTCTACCTAGAGCTTTCATTGCTATTGGGATTGAGCTTGTGAAAGAGTAGGCCAGGGAGCATCTGCGTAACAATCACCCCTGGGGCTTGTGGAGCCTTCAGATTCACAATCCAATTTCCAGTAGAGTCGGCCTTCATGACATGAATGTAGTAAAGGTTCTGGGACTCTCATTTGCTGATGTGGCAAGACTCAAAACGAGAAGAAACAGCTAGAGACATCCATTAAAAATCATAATGTGGAACGTCCAGAGTATGAATCTAGGAAAATTGGAACTCATCCAAAATCAAATGGAATGCATAAAGATCAGTATCCTAGACATTACTGAGCTGCAGTGGACTGGTATTGGCCATTTTAAATCAGGTAATCGTATGGGTCTACTATGCCAGGGGGAGCTCTGGTAGGCACTTGACTGCTAACCAGAAGGCTGGCGGGTCAAACCCACCAGCCACTCCATGGAAGGAAAGTTGGGCAATCTACTTCCACAGTGATACTGCCTCTGAAAACCAAGGAGGGGTTGCTATGAGTCGGGTCCAGCTCGACAGCACATAACAACAACAACAGTGCCAGGAAGGACAAATTGAAGAGGAATGGCATAACCGTCATCATCAAAAAGAACATTTCAAGATCTATCCTGAAGTACAGTACTGTCAGTTAAAGGGCAATATCCATATGCCTACAAGGAAGATCAGTTAGTATGACTATTATTTAAATTTATGCACCAGCCACCAAAGCAAAAGATGAAGAAATTGAAGTTTTTTGTTTTTTTTCACCAACATCTGCAGTCTAAAATTGACCAAATATGCAATCAAGATATATCGATTATTGCTGATGATTGGAATGCAAATTTAGAAACCAAGAAGAAGGATCAGTTACTGGAAAATGTAGCCTTGGTGATGGAAATTATGCTGGAGATCACGTGACAGAATTTTGCAAAACGGCCACTTATTCATTGCAAATACCTTTGTCAACAACATAAATGGTAGCTGTACATGTGGACCTTGTCAAATGGAATATGCAGGAATGAGATCGACTACATCTGTGGAGAGAAGTGATGGAGAAGCTCAGTATCTTCAATAAAAATAAGGCCAGGAACAGCCAGCTACCCAGAGGGAGCAAGTAATTGGACCTATGGGCTCAGGACCATGGTCACAGGGGACATCAAGCTTAATTGACGTAACATACTACACAAAACACTGTTCCATATCCTACTTTGGCAAGCAGTGACTGAGATCTTAAAAGCTTGCAAGCAGCCATCTAGATGCAATGATGGGTCTTTCCTCATCTAGAGCAAAGAAGAATGAGGAAAACCAAAGACCCATGGAACCAAAGACCCAAGGACTGCTGCACCATGTGATCCTCAGCCTATATGACTATGAGACCAGAAGAACTAGATGGTGCCCAGATACTATTGTCAACCACTCAGAGGGGGATCTATGTAAGAAATCTTGGATAGAGAAGGAGAACAATGCGGAACAAAACTCAAAACCATTAAAAAAAAAAAAAAAAAGGACCAAGTTTGCTGGTCTGGTAGAGCCTGGTGGAACCCCTGAGACTATGGCCCCTAGCTGCCCTTCAGGTCTGGAATTGAACCAACTCCTGTGGCTTCCATCCAAACAAAAGACAGGCATATGAGCTGAACATTTCTGTTAGGTAGATACACTCCTTAGAGAGATCAGTCATGGGAGAATAGAAGGGCTGTGCATGCACAGGGAGGCAGCTCAGGGGGCAGGTATGCATGGAGGGAAGGACACAGGGAAGAGGTGGCTATGGGGAGGAAATAGGAGGAGAGCTGTCACATTATGGGAGATTATAGTCAATGTAATGAGACAGTTATATGAACTGCTGTATGGAAGATGCATTTGTTCTGTAAACTTTCACACAAATCACAATAAAATTGGGGAAAAAAGAAAAAAAGGCCAGGAGCTGACTATGGAAATAGACCATCACTTGCTCCTGTGCAAGTTCAAGTTGAACCTGAAGAAAATTAAAACAAGTCCATGAGAGAAAAAATACGACCTTGATTGTATCCCACCTGAATTTAGAGACCATCTGAAGAATAGATTTGATGCATTGAACAGCAGTGACTGAAGACCAGATGAGTTGTGGGATGACATCAGGAATATCATACATGAAGAAAGCAAAAGCTCATTAAAAAGACAGGAAAGGAAGAAGAGGCCAAAATAGATGTCAGAAAAGGCTCTGAAACTTGCTCTTGAATGGAGGGGAGCAAAAGTGAATGAAGGAACAATAATGGAGAACTCAGTTGGTAGGAAGTGGGGAGAGTGCCGTTAAATTGGGGGGATTGCAACCAATGTCACGAAACAAAACTTGTGTCAATTGTTGAATGAGAAACTAATTGGCTTTGTCAACTTTCATCCAAAGTACAATAAAAAGTCCAAAAAACAACAACAACAACAAAAAAAAAAAACTACGAGCAGCAGGATCAGCTTTCAATATAAAGGACAAACTATACTTAACCATAAATACATGCTTACTTACAATTGCAAAAAAATTAATTTCTTCGTAACAATACCAGGACATATCACTGTTAGTTTGAATGAAAGCAAGATAAGGCCTTTATTTTGTTCTTTAAAATCGAGTCTAATATAACAACCTTCCCAACATAAAAGTTTCATGAATGTTTTAGAAATCAAACATTTAAACAATTCAGTCTTTTACAAAAATATTTGAACTGATGTTTCATTTTTTTTAAAGTCTTTTCATATCCAGTCACAAATTTAATCTCTGGTCACCAATTGTGTTCCCTAATGCTGGGCGTGGGATCAGGCAGTAGTTCGTTCTGCTGTGCATGGGGTTGCTATGAGTTGGAAACGACCCGACGGCACCTAACAACAACAACAATGCACAATATTTGCACAATATTCTCTGAAAGGCCTCCTTTCTGTTTGGTCTCTAAGTCTTGAACAAAACACCTAGGGCGTGTCACCAGTTCCAGTACTTTCCTTTATAGGTGGGACGGCCACCAGACAGAGGGGCTTCCTGGGGTGCATCCGGTCTCTGCACTTGAACGGGCTCGCCCTGGACTTGGAAGAGAGAGCCAGGGTGACGCCCGGTGTGGAACCTGGCTGTCAAGGACACTGCGGCAGCTACGGGAAGTTGTGTCGCAATGGCGGGAAGTGCCGGGAGAAGCCCAGTGGGTTTTCCTGTGACTGCACCTTCTCCGCCTACACAGGGCCATTCTGCTCAAACGGTGAGTGTGACGCAGCCATCTTAACAGGAAACCCTACCCGGGATGAGTAAAACATCGGGCTCTTTCGTTTTTTCCCTCCTGTGTAGCTGTTTGAAACAAAAACATTTCTCTTTTTGAATTTCTTTTGCAAAGTACCTATTAAATGCCAAGTGCATCTTATTAGGCGTTTGACTTAACTGAAGAAACTACAGGGTGGTGCTGATAAGGAGTCCCTGGGTGGTGGAGATGGCTGGCATGCTCGGCTGCTGACAGACAGGTTGGTGGTTCGAGTCTACCCAGGGGCATCTCAGAAGACAGTCTTGGCCTCTACTTCCAAAAAATCAGCCATTGAAAACCCCGGTGGACCATACAGTGGCGTTGTCAGGAGTCAGAACTGACTTCGTGGCAAATGTGGTTGTTTTTTATTTTTTATTTTTTTCCTTAGCTGATAAATCCTCTAAAAGTTGTCTGTGGGCATCTTATAGTGTTACATATCCCATCTCCCTTTCTCCATCTGCTGTTGATGCTCTTAAATAATATGGTTGTCAACATATTGGCATGGGGCAGCGCTCAACTTTAAAATCATTAAAGGAATTACTGCTATTTTTACTGATAATGTTTGGCAAGTCAAAGACATTTGCCAAGCATTTTGAATTTCACCCCCCCCCCCATTTTTTGCCCCGTCAACTATCTTGGCTAAGAACGTATATAGCTTTCCCATTAAATAGTGGTGTCTAATAAAATGGAGACCCTCAGACATTTTGCTGCATGATCCGTAGACTATCTGTTAGCAAAGTGAAATAGTAGAGTATTTTTCAGCTTCTCTTGCTCACGGAGGAGTCCCAGGGTAGGACCTGTGGAACGCGCTCAGCTGCTTGCTGGAAGGCTGGAGGGTCAGGTCCACAGAGGTACCACGGCCGGAAGGCCTGGTAACCTACTTCTGAAAACTCAGCCGTTGCCAACTCTGTGGAGCTCAGTTCTACTCTGACACTCGTGGAGTCACTTTGAGTTGGAGTCAACTCGGTGAGAACTGGTTTTCACCGGTCTTGTTCACTGAAGAAGGAGGGAAGTGAGTGCGGCATTGAGTGATCTGGAACATTCGGCCTTTACTCTCCCTTTTTGGTTCCTCACAGAAGACTGTCATCCAGCTCAGTGTTATTTAAGTGTCTCTGGGCTTTCGGAATTTTCCTGAAGGAGCCTAGCAAAAACAGACTCCAAATAGGAGCAACTCTTGGTTTGTAAAGTCCCTGGGATTAGTTAATGAAAAATTGTCACAAGAGCACTCTTCAGGTCCTTTTTGTCAGGAATGTGTCAACCTGTGGTGATAAATCACATGCTGCTGGGACCATCCAGGAGGCTTTGCCCCGTTAAAGTTCAAATGCACCTGTGACCGGTCGTTCCTAAGTGTTCACTTTCTGAAGCCGGTTCATCGGGAAAGTTACTGTGCATCCACCCGTTACACCGGATGTAAAGATTGTGTTTTGTATCGTGTATAATTAGACACTCTGGTGGTATAGTGATTAAGGCATTGGGTGCTAACCCAAGGATCAGTGGTTCAAACTCACGAGCCTCTCCTCGGAGGAGAGATGAGGCAGTCTGCTTCTGTAAAGATTTACTGCCTTGCAAACCCAGTGGGGGTCACTGTGAGTCAGAATTGGCTCAGTGGCAACGAGTTTGGTTTTGTTTTGGATTGTATTTGATACAAGTAACTTTGAAAGACCTCTGGGCTGCTGACAGAGATGAGCCACTGCTCCGTGACCTGGTGGTAAACCTCAGCAGCAACTCTCAGTCAATAGTGATCTGCTTATGATAATGCAGAAAGCAGGGTTCAGGGGTACACAATTGATTCTCCCTCCCACTGCTCTCCTCTCTTCCATGAATATGTGTTTGAGGGTGGGGTGCATGCATACATATGGGAAATTAGTCTTATACTAAATAAAATACTGTGCTTTCAAAAACTGATTTAAGACAGCTGGGTAATTTCCTATGTTGATCCCTGCTAAGCAGAGGCTCTCAGATTGATGCTAACACTTCCCTGAAGCCTACCTTTCTTTTTCAATGAACAATAAATAGGAGAAAGTATATAGGCAGTTGGCATCCGTTGATCCAGGAAGTTAAGGGTCGCCCCGAACTCCCTCCTTTTCCAGCTACTACAGGAAGATCAGAGCATCCCAGCTACAGGAGACCGACGCTGAAAGAGACAATGGCAGTTAAAGAAAGCAAAAGTCAAGCATTCTGGTTTAGGTCCCAACTCAGAGAGGAGTGCATGGAGCTTGCAGTGGTAAAGTTACATGAGGGAATTCACTGCGGGGAATTCTAAGATAAAGCCACTGCAGCATCATCATGAACCAGAAAAAAAAAAAAAAAAAAACACTGCCATCGAATCAGACCCAACTCATAGCGACCCCGCCTTGGGTTTCTGAGGCAGTATCACTATGGAAGTAGATGGCCCATCCTTCCTTCCGAGGAGTGGCTGGTAGGTTTGAACCGCCAGCCTTCTGGTTAGCAGTCAAGTGCTTTAGGCTGTTTTACTCATGTCCGCTGTGAAGGTGTTCTTACGCTGATGAAATTCATTATTATTTTTTTTTAAATCCTGCCACATCAATTAATATGACCCAAACAAGGGCAAGATCCTTGTCCTTAATTTTCCTTCGACATCACAAACATGCCTGTCATTTCAGAGATTTCTGCGTATTTTGGACCTGGCTCAGCTGTGATTTACAATTTTCAAGAAAATTATTCCTTAAGCAAAAACTCCAGCTCCCATGCTGCTTCGTTCCACGGTGACAGGAAGCTGAGCCGAGAAACGATCGAGTTTAGCTTCCGAACAACACGGACACCAAGCTTGCTGCTTTATCTGAGCGGCTTCTATAAAGAATACCTTTCCGTGATCATTGCCAAAAACGGTGAGTGCCTTTTAGATGGGGGAGAGGAAACGGAGTTGCGTTAGGTCGGCAGTAACACGGATGTTCTTGTGGTCTTCCTTCAGGGATACCAACAAGGGGGAAATATGTGCCCATTTTTGTTTGTGTGTTTGTTTGTTTAACTCTGTGCCATCCAGCATCTTTCACCTACAAGAATTGTTTAAACTATTAAGATACCTTTCTCTCTTCATGATTCTTACAATATCACACATTTAATATGAACGTTTATTGTTCATTATAAGAAGATATCTGTTATTATATTTTATTATTAATAGGAGCTCTTTACTACTCCATAGAAATCATCACAGTCAGCTCTGTGCTGCATTTTGAGGGAAGATGCCTTGCTGTACATGACACATATTTTGTTCAAAGCGAATTGTAGAAGTTGAGGGGATGTTAACGAACCAGCGATACACATTAGAAGGAACCCCTGGCTGGTGCAAACAGTTAATGGGCTCAGCTGCTAGCTGAAAAGGTCGAGGTTTTGAGGCCACAATGAGGCACCCCAGAAGAAAGGCCTGGCAATCTACTTTGAAAAATCAGCCTTTGAAAACCCCACGGGAACACAGTCTGCTCTGATACCCGCAGGGTTGCCGTGAGGCAAAACTGACTCTGTGGCAACTGGTTAAGTGCGAGAAAATTTCTACCAGATAAACCCAAAAAACCAAACTCACTGCCGTCGAGTCAAATCCAACTCATAGCAACCCCTCCCTGAGTTTCTGAGGCAGTATCTCTATGGAAGTAGATTGCGGTCTTCCTTCCAAGGAATGGCTGGTAGGTTTGGACCACCAGCCTTCTGGGTAGCAGTCAGATATCTTAGGCACTATGCCTATTGGTCAGTAAGATAGTGGAGGGATACGTTGGTACAGTCATGTGTGGTGATGGCCTGTGGATTGGGAAATGAGTCTGTTACAAGAAACCATGCTACAGAAAACCACTTATTGCTTCTTTTCTCTCTTCTCATTGTCCTGATTAGAGCTAAAGACTTTAGAAATGAATTCTCTATGTGGGTAAGAAGAACATGCATACAAACGTGTGCACATATCATTTCAACTGGGTCATATATGGTCCAAGAGCACCAAATGGCAAACTGAAAGAATGGGACCATTCGATAAGTGTACTCACACTCCTTGTACCTTTTGAGCTTAAGACTTATCTATGTTGTTGTTGTTGTTGTTATGTGCCGTGGAGTCGGCCCCGACTCATAGCGACCCCTCCTTGGGTTTCCAAGGCAGTATCACTACGGAAGTAGGATTGCCCAACCTTCCTTCCGAGGAGTGGCTGGTGGGTTTGAACGGCCAGCCGTCTGGTTAGCAGGCAAGTGTCTTAGCCACTATGCTACCAGAGCTCCCAAGACTTATCTATACATGAGGGCATTTTCTTTGTTCAAGTGGAGGGTATCCTGTGAAGGGTATTTATTGACATCCCTGCAGGCAGAGAAGTCGGTAATTCATTCAATTAGCAGATTTGGTTTAAAGCTGTCCATTTCACCCTGAATTCATTTCAGAGTCTTTGGCCATGACTACTTGGAATTCTTTCTCGTCTTTAGTATAACTGCATTTGCTTACAGCAGTTCCATTGGTCCGTTACATCTCAGGAGCCTTTTAAAAAGAAAAGCCTGAATGTGAATGTTCTGCCTTCTGGTGGAGGGATATTTCTTAGCTGCATGATTCAAGCACTAAAGTCAAGTGAAATATAGGAAAAATATAACATCATAGAAACAGAATGCCCTTCCCCCTCTTCCACAGCAGTTTGCCATCTCACAGTATCCCAGGTATGTTCTCTTTATGTCACAGGCTAGAGCAGAGGTTTGTGTACGCTTCATCTCAGTGTTGACTTCTGAGGAAGAAAACTCAAAGATTTGAGGGAAGGAGACTGCTCATTGGCAACCTGCTTGGTCTTGATTTTTCAAACAGTGCAATCTAACTTTGATACTGACTTTTAGCAATTGTTGCGATAAGGCACATCCAAATTACTATTTAAATCTTGTCTCCAGAAATGAATCAATAGTTACAACAAGGAGAGAAGATTTATGAGTCTTGATAGGTAGTTTTTTAAAACACAGTTTTCACTGAAAAAAAATACACGTTTTTTTCTCCTCTTTAGGAAGTTTGCAGATCAGGTACCAGCTGAATAGACACCAAGATCCTGATGTCATTAACTTCGATTTTAAAAGCATGGCTGACGGGCAGCTTCACCACTTGAAGATTAGCAGAGATGCAGGCGTGGTCTTTGCAGAGGTAACATAGTAAGCTCAGCAGTAGCCTGGACTAAAAGAGACTCCCGAGCATGTAGGACCAAGGGCAAAATTTTGGTAATATCACCAACAAAGGCACACACATCTTTTCAGTGTTGTTCTACAGGGCACAAACAGAACATGAAAAGTGGTCAGGTTTTCGATAAGCGATAACATTCCAGCCAAGGTGTTAGGAATACTTGACTACTTAAAATGCTAAACTTTCCTCAGTTGCTTCATTTTGCTCAGGAGGCAAGTGCTGTCTAATATATCATGTTGCACAATTTGGAGGATCCTTGGTGCTTCAGCACAACCATCTGACATCATAAGGGTATAAACGCAGCAACAGTTTTTACACAGAAAATAATGATTGCAGGCACAGAATAAAAAATGATTTGAGGCCCAGCAGAGAAATTGCACTTATTCACTGTACTAGCTTTTGAAGAAAAGCCTGAATATGCTTCCCTCTGGTAGAGGGACATTTCTTAGCTACATGATTCAAACACTAAGCCAAGTAAAAGTACTGAGATGAAAAATAACTCATTGTACCTTTTTGTGGTTTTGCTAACTGGGAATTCCTTCTACAGCAGAGAGAAATAAAGATAGATGTGCAGTATAGAAAGAGTTTAAAAAATAATACTCACTTTTCTAAATAGTTGTGTTTTTTTTAAAAAAAAAAAAAAGAAATTTAAGCCTTTGGGCTGTACTAATATGTGCTTATCTTTTTCATTTGCTCTGGTCTTTGCTTCTTGCCTGTTTCTCAACACAACTGGCATCCGTTTGGATCCCTGTATCACATGTAACAATTCTGTAGATTGATGAGACTGCAAGGAGACAAGTCCACCTGGCATCAGGTACAGAGTTCAGTGCAGTCAAATCACTTGTACTGGGCAGGATTTTAGGTAAGTAGAAGAAACCACTTTCTCCTAATGGTGATACATGTACACTGATCAGGAGGTTCATGTTCCAAACACAGAAAGCGCCCATCATGACAAAAAGAAATATCTTGCCTCATTTCAGTTGTGGAGCACATGATAATCTTGGTAGAAACCATAGCTCCGGAGAGACGTGCTATCCTGCTTCCTGAGGGATGAGCAAGTGTCATCCATGGTAGGGGTGCCACTGGCCTCGGACAGAAGTCAACGCAGTGTAATGGAACACAATATTGTTCTCGGACTTTAAACACATAGGTAGAAATCACAAATTATGGACTAACTAGCTTCCAAAGACAGAAGCCTTCATGTAATGGTAAAACTAGGATTAGATCTAAAAGAAAGGAACAAGAAAAAATCGCTTTTCTTCTAGTTGGTGACTGTGCGTTAGGTTGTGGATTGGGTCTTGTTTGCCTTGTTAAGAAGTCTTGCCAAAACCTAATCTCAATGTCTTATGTAAGTAAGAACTTATATCTGCCAGTTACTACTAAGAAGAGCACTGAAATAGATACACAGTATTACCATTTTAATTTCAAAATACATATGCATCTCTCTCTCTTTTTTTACACTTGTTCAGCAAAACTAAATGGAAAGGGAGCAGTAAATTTGTAAAGGGATTTTCTTTTTGATTGTAAGTGAGTAGTAAGCAGTGTTGATACTTCATATTATTTGGTCGTGGTTGTGGTGGGGATGGTGGGTGCTTCCTGTAATCTGCTTTTCATGCCTGGTCTGATGAATTCATGGAATATTTAGTCCAAGATGGTAAATGGGAATGTTCATTTTTTGACCTTTTCAGTTTTTTGCCCCTCAGTTCATCATTCCTTAAATTCTTTTTGTACATAATTTCAGCATCTGGAGATTGTTTGATTAAAGCTGTGGGTGACTTATTAAAATATTGGCCCTTGAGTAGGTCAATAGTTAAGTCTATATATAGTTATAGGCTTTCGAGTGCTGTGCTGAGCATTGAATGCATGTGTTCTTATTCTACAAACAAACTAGGGAAATAACATGAAATCGTCCCTCATGCATGCTATGGTGTGGTTTTAAAAATGTGCAAAATACTGCTCAGACATTGGGAAGCTGCATTAAAAAGTTCCCAGGGAGTTGCCTAGAGTTAATGATAGAAATCCAACTATTTAAGCCTGGAAGGAGCTCTGGTGGCACAGGGGTTAGGGCATTTGGCTGCTAACCCAAAGTCGACAGTGTGAACTCACCAGCCACTCCATGGGAGAAAGATGAGGCAGCCTGTTTCTGTAAAGATTCATAAGCTTGGAAACACAATGGGGCAGTTCTACTCTGTCCTATAGATCGCTGTGAGTCAAAATTGACTCCATGGCAGTGGGTTTAGTTTTATTTAAGACTGCCACTCTTCCTGTTTGTGCTAAGGATCATCTATCATCAGTAACACATTTTGACATAAAATGGTTGTTCTGATTTTTGTTGTTGTTGTTGTTTTTGGGTAGCTGTAAAAGTTGATTCAAATCCAACCCCCTGATATCTTAATAAGAGACAATATGCACTTTAAATTTGTGCGTGTATTAGTTATGACATTACCTGTACAGAAACAATGGTTAGAACCTCAGTTAAAAACAAACAAAAAGAAAATACATAGTTATTTCCAGTTCAGTGTTGGGAGGGAGGCTGCTTGTGCAATGGTTAAGCACTCGGTTGCTAACTGAAAGGTTAGTGGTTCAAGCTCACCAGCTGTTCCTTAGGAGAAAGATGAGGCAGTCTGCTTCCGTGAAGATTACAGCCTTGGAAATTCTTTGTGACAGTTCTACTCCATCCTTTTCGGTTGCTATGAGTTGGAATGGACTCAACAGCAGTGGGTTTTTTGGTTTTGACAAATACTTACAGCCCTTTCAGGCCACCATAGAGATCAGTACACTGGTCTCTCTGAATCGGCTGTTTAACTTAGAACATGTAACTTAGGCATTTCTAAACATTAATTTTTTCATAATGTTGAAGGATTTTATTCCAGTTATAGCTACAGCATAGAATAGGAAGCCACAGAAGATTTTTTTTTAATTTAAACAAACAGCTGCGATAGCAACAACAATGGTCTTAATTAACTTCAGAAGCCCACCCCCTTCCCTGTGGGTGGATTTATAAGGAGCAGGCGCTGATGGAAGAAAGAAGGGAAGGGGTTGGTAAGAGCGTGGATACAGTCTTTGGGTGGAGAGAGGGCGCAGCAAGGAGATGGTGGCCAGGCAAGCTGCCCGTAGTCCACACGGCCAGTTGGGGTGATACCATTAGAATCTGATTTCTGCTGGTGCTGTCTATTAAGTGTAATAGGAGGTTTGAGACAGTTTCCATGTCATCATAGTGCAATTTGGTATTATTACCTAAAAATTACCCTGTTTGCTTGATACCTGCTAGTAATGCTTGTTAACCGTGATTGGAGAGGAAATTGGTCCTGTCCATTCTCATTGGAAGAAAAGAGGACTGGAGAAAGGGGAGAAAGCCATTTGTCTTTCTGATCTTCCTGCAGAAAAGGCGACAGCATGGCACCCCTTTTTATTAGGTACTTTGTTCCCAGTGCCCATGAATTCCAGGGTCAACGTGATGATTAGTCAACGCTCATGTTCAGCTCCCTGACGAGGAATCTTTACCCCAAGATATATAAAAACAGACCTCTCTCTGATATAATTAATCAAGGAAAATATGCAGGTATAAGTTTGTTTTGCTATTTCATTCAGCTTTTATTAGGCCACAGTTCCACCACATGAACAATAAAATCTAAATTAAGATCACCATTGTTTTGTTTACCTATTGCTACTCTAACAGAAAATACCACACATGGAATGGATTTAATAAACAGGGATTTATTCTCTTACTGTTTAAGAGGCTAGGAGTCTGAGTTCAGAGTGCCAGCTCTACGGGCTGGGTGAAAGCCCCTCAGACTTAGACTTCAACTCTGCCTCTTGCTTCTGGCCCATTGGAGCTGGAGGCGTCTCTTCATTCAGGCAGCTGCTGCCTGCTGAGGCTGACAAACCCAAGGTCCAGAAGTAAAGTAGCACAGTCCCAAAATTATCAAACCACATGCCGGGCCACTGATTCAAGTCCATTCAAAGTCCCAAGATCAGCGGACAACATGGCAGGCTGCTGAGCGATGACTCAGCTACATGCTGGACTCAAGCAGGCCAAAAGTTGCTGAGACGCTTCTCAAAACTTCTTCTTATAGACTGGAAGCAGACCACATTCCCTAAGGCAACTACTCGGCTGCTCCAGTAGATTCGGCCATGGAGTTGATTACCAGACTCACCATGGGGAATCGCTACATCCAGCTGCCCAGCCAGTCAACACTAGGCCCAGCCAAGCTGACACATAACCGTAACAACCCAACCATGTAATCTGAAAATTATATAAAACTGCTCATGGGAAAACGTGTCCAAATTATGAATCATTATCAAAATTTAACCCATTGTCAGGTGACAGAAAAATCACTGTTGAAAAGCTGGATGCAGTTTACAATGACTGTTGATCACTTCTCTGCCAAAATTATAGAAGAATTCTTTGCCATTATAATGGCATGAGAACACTGACAACAGTAATCAGTTGGCAGTTGATGGTGATTGTGGGAAGAACCAGGTTGCATCCAACACACTTGGTTCAGCTTCCTCCATAATTAATAGACTGTGTTCCATTTGCTTTTTATATCCAAAATGCAGTATAAAATCAAGGTCTACGTTCTTCTCATGGATTATTCTTAGGCTAGAACAATTTTCTAAAAGCCTGAAGACTGTCTTCACTCTCTGAGCAGTAGCTTTGGTATATTTAGAGGTGATGGCCCATAGGGCTCATTTATCTCTTCAGAGTCAGCGGAGCCAGGAAGTACATTCCGAATGCTGCAGTGGTGAGTGGAGCCAGGTGTAAATAAAGAGTGTGGTCAGAAGAGGATGTCTGCTCAGTCTCCTCAGAAGAGTTTTAAGAACAGTCTCCAATCTGTCAGCAATCCTTTTTGTAAACCTCACATCATAGCCAAAGGGCATATAAGAAAGTTTAGTGATATTACTTAAGAACACTGTGATTTTTTTTATCTATCTTACCAAATGGCATGTAAGATCATTGGCTTTGTCTGCACACTGCCAATGTAGATATCTGATGCAAATTAGTTCTAAAGCCAGTTTGTTGTTATTGTAGTTAATGAGCAATTTAATATAGATTTTCATTTTGTTTGGACTCAATTCTGGGACAACTGCTGCTTATCCTCTGCCATCAAGTCAATTCCAACTCCTACCGACCTTATGGGACAGGGTAGAACGTCCCCATACGGCCTCCAAGGCTGTTATCTTTAAGGAAGCATTCTTTCCCCCTGAGAGTAGCTGGTGGGTTGGAATCACTGACCTTTGGCTTAGCAGCCAAGTGTTTAACCATTGTGCCATCAGAGCTCCTTGTTGTTGTTGTTGTTGTTAAGTGCCATCGAGTCGTTTCTGACTCATAGCGACCCCATGCACAGCAGAATGAAACACTGCCTGATCCCGCACCAGCCCCACAATCCCTGCTATACTTGAGCCCATCACCGCAGCCACCGTGTCAATCCATCTCACTGAAGGCCTCCCCCTCTTTTGTCGACCCTCCACCCTACCAAGCATGACATCCTTCTCCAGGGAATGGTCCCTTCTTACAACATGACCAAAATAGGTGAGACAAAGTCTGGCCATTCTTGCTTCCAAGGAGCATTCTGGCTGCATTTCCTCCAGGACAGATCTGTTAGTTCTTTTAGCAGTCCACGGTACTTTCAGCATTCTTCGCCAGCACCACAACTCAAAAGCATCAACTCTTCTTCGGTCTTCCTTATTCATTGTCCAGCTCTCACATGCATACGAGGCGATTGGAAATATCATGGCTTGTGTCAGGAACACCTTAGTCCTCAAGGAGACATCCTTGCCCCTCAGCACTTGAAACAGTTCCTTCGCGGTTGACCTTCCCAATACTACACGTCGTCTAATGTCCTGACTGCTGCTTCC